GCTTAAATGGTATTAATTTCTGTGCCAACATGTTTTGACTTGACTACAGTGAATGGATTTAGCAGGTGGCAAAGCCTTTATGAGGAATATGGGGGGGGGGGGGGGGGCTCAGCCCCCTCCTGCCCTCCCCCCTCCCCTCAATAGGACGATGGGAGTCAGGTTCCAGGTCTTGGTGAAACGACCAAAAACCCATGGCAATGGCGATATATCCTCTCGTTGGCGATGGAGACATCAACACATTTCAAACATTTCGCCAACGTACGCATCACCGGTGAAGACTGTAACGAAAGAGAAGAGTGGCCGTAACAGGAAAACAGTGCACGTCCGAAAATCGTAAGTTGCAAACGACGCCCTGATTCGTAAAAGGAGAGACAGAACACGCAGTCGTTGTACATTATGCAACAGCAAAAAAAAAACATCAGCAGTTCCTGAAGAATTGCATCGTGGTCATCTTGTCTTAGATCGACCGGCAACAAAAATAATTTGAGCAAATGTCGCCGTGTGAGAACGACAGAAGTGATGCAGAGATACACAACTCCAGCCAATTTCGTTCTCATTAACAACAATACGAATAAATTTCGATTTAAAGCTTTCGTGACTGCAGGGATTCATCTTCTTGGTTCTTTCGGTAAAGTCACGTAGAAGGGAAGTAATAAAATAATAAAAATAAAACATAATAAAATAATATAATATATTTTTTTATTATGTTTTATTTTTATTATTTTATTACTTCCCTTCTACGTGACTTTACCGAAAGAACCAAGAAGAACAATACGAATAGTTTACATTTGTTAGGCGCATTTCATCTGTAGATCCCAAAGCGCCGCCGTGTTTGGAAAGCGGGAAATTTACATTACCTGCAGAATAAACCGGGCAGAACCAGGGGGGTAAAGACCAATTTAAAGAGGTGAGCTTTCATAGCAAACTTATTTAAACCAAACGACTCTGTCTTGTTCGCAAAAGCGTTCCAAAGTCTGATAGGTGCACTGGCAAAAGCAAATCCCGATCAGCCAAGGAAATGACCTCGGAGTACTGGGAAGAAGGCGATCCGAATATGTCAGGGACCTCGTTGGAGACTCAACGTGGATCGGTTCCTGCAAAATATTGCGGGGGTTAACCCACTGAGCGCCGTGCAGGTCAGCGAGCAGTAGGAATCTTCCGGTGCAGTCGGTTGCTTGACTGGTAGCCAGTCGTGTCGCTAGCGTGGGGCAGCAGCGGGTCCCTTGATCCCCCCTGGTGACCAAAGCTGCGAGTTGGGGCCCCCTTGCCAACCACCACGAGATTTGCTTTCAACAGCAGTGTAAAATAACAAGAACGCGTATTTAAAACGCGGTTTAAATTTTTACGAAAATTCTTTCAATTACGTTTCGCGTTTTATTACAATTCAATTGCAGCAGTAATGCTTGGCGTCCGCAAATTACGCAAATCAAATCTTGAGGCTCCACCTGACCCGATTATCACTACGCCATTGATGATAGCTCGTCAATACATGGACAAGAGAGCGTGTGTGTGATGTGCTCGCGAAACGCTGTGCGCCTAAGGGCTCTAGCAGCTGCATTATGAACAATCTGGAGTCTAACACAGCGCCTGAGTCGCAATCCCGAACAGTGATACTCGGCAGTGATTAGGACCCAGCAGTAAGGCATCGTCACACGAATTCTCACTGCCGCAAACGTTTGCATCTGGGACCCACCTAGAGTGGGTCCCCCCCCCACCTCATATGCACAATGGGACCCATGAGCTTGGCGATAGACGTCAGTCCCAGTCGCGTAAGATGGCATTTCCTTTGCGAAGCAGATTTTCGTTCGAAAGTTGCGTTTCTCTCTGTTTTGAATAACGCAACTATTTTGGACAGCCGCCGGGCGCGTGTGTGCTGGTGTGTGCGTGTCCCGTGCGCATTACATTTTCAAACAAGAAAAAAATATTAATAAAGCCAGTTTATCTAACAAGTCAAGCAGAGGCTTACAGATCAAAATGTTCTGTTACTCAATCGTTGGCATGGGTTATGTGATTCGCACGGGGTTGGGTGAGGTGGAGCGGACGATAAGAGTAATCTGTTGGATGGGAAAGGGGCAGACTGGTAGTAGGTGGGGGCGGTGGTGGTGGTGGCGGGGTTGGTGTTGCGGGTGGTGAAGCGGATTTGGGAAGGGGGGAGATGCGGCAGGGGTTGGAGGTGTGTGTTGCTACGATTGGTTTGCTGTCCAGTGGAGGCCACGGGGGGTGGGTGTAGGGGATTGCATGTTGCGGGGGTTGCTTAGGGACAACACGGAGCTAAGCAGCCTCAGCTGCTATCGGACTGCCCGCTCGTTGTGAACTCTGCGGATCCACCAGGTTCCCATGGCGAGGGGTTCCATCCCACTCGCAGCGGTGATGCGAAATGCGCGCGTCGATTCGTTCAAAACGGCCGTGCGTATCCGAATGAACGCGGCGGTTCCAGATTACCTTCGACGTCGCTTGTCCTTAGTTGGAACCGTTCCTCTTATCCACGGGGATGTTGGTGACCCACATTCGTGCATCCTATTTTCCGGGATGTTATCCGCAAATTTGCTACAGTTATCCGTTTGAGGGAAAAAAAAGTTACGGATAACGGAACGAATAACACGGATAACAGGACGACTTTTGCCTACACGATCTCCTCTGCGCCATGAGAAAAGAAAGACTCGCTTCATAATTTGAGCACTGATGTAACCTCTCGGAGTGGGTCCCAGCAAATAGGGGCCGTTAATAGGATGTGCTCGATGCACGACTCCAATTACCCGTGAAGAATTCTCAAGAAAACAGGAGGCCGTTCCTGCAATGTAGGGTGACAAAAACAAACTGCAGAAACGTTTTGGACAATCGGATGATTCGGTCGCGGATAACCGGAGTTTTTGCGGGTGGTAACATCTCCCGCGGATGATACGACTCGCAGATAATAGGGTAGCGGATAACAGGAGGTCCACTTTATCGATGAAGATTATTATCTAGATGTATTTGCGTCTACGTTAATGTTCTGCCATTCCAATTCTAAGCACCAAAAAATGCAACACAACGCATCTGGTATGTATTGGCCAAACATCCACGTGTTGGAAAATCACCTGCGAACTACTTTTTTGGGATTACACGTTAGACACGTCGCCCCGCCCCCACCTCCCCTCTGTTAAAACATGGCAAGATCCTCCCGAATAAGAGCACTGGGACTCGTTGAGGCTTTCCTGGGTGAACAAGTGTACGAATAATAATAATAAGAGTAATGGTCATGTCTATGCGCCGCTTCTCGGTGGCAGCCCCAACAGTCTGGAACGATATCCCTCTGCACATTCGCAGCATCACCTCAATCGCCTCCTTCAAGAGAGACTTAAAAACTCACCTCTACAATCACGTGCTTTCGAGCGACTCTGAGCTTGGCTCCGCGCCTCTGAGTTGCGGCCACTATACGTCTGCAAATGTGTGCGCGTTATAAATTGAACTATTATTATTATAATTAAAAGTATTACACTGATGAGCAATGCTCTGGGAACCTGCGGCAGAGTTGTTTTATTTTCTAAAGAGAGTGTTCTGACCTACAAAACACGCTTAAGGAGAGAGCAGCTGGCAGGACACCGCCTCACTGTCATCTGTGAGTTGCACGGAAATAAATATGGAGCGAACACAAGACAGTGAGCGATTGTGCATTTTTGGATAAGGTGAAAAAAAGGAAAGAGTGGGGGATTGCAGGCCAATCTTGTTGCATCCATTGCGACGATTGGATAATAGCTCTAATTCTAGATTTGAAGCTTTCGTGACTGCAAGGAGTATGGATAATAGCTGCGGAAACAGCCAAGGCAGCAGCGAGCCAGCGCCAAGTATGCCAACGCGTATTCCAAGCCTTCTTGCGTGACCATAATCTTTCTAGATTTGTTTTATTATTTGCAGGATTGGATTGGCCCCCATCCAGCAATAGATTGGGAGTGATGGCTGCTGCTGCTGATGATGATGATCAGAATCACCATGACGGGAATGTGAGAAATGTGTAGCTGTACTGAACTAGGCTATGTAACGGACGCCCATAATTGGTAGAAATTGACCCAGAATGACCGCTCGTCGGCCCATGCAGCCTTCACACGAGCATGCCAGTAACGCAATGTGTGCGCATGATCGTGTATATCATTGCTGTGCGCGCACGTGTATGTGCGAATTGACAAAGGGCTGCCTATTATTACGCGCGCGCGTGCGTGTGTGCGTGTGTCCATCCCGCAATGATTACACGTACAGGGGAATACGTGTGAGCTGGTCCTGGTCGCAGCAAACAGTCGCAATGCTGCAGCTACGTGACATCAATCGAGCATTTTGGCCAGCGCGCGTGTTAGTGGCGCGCGTCAATTGTGCCCACGCGATTAACCAAATCGCTCGGAATATTTGCCCACGTGACACCTTGATTTGATGAGCTCTTTCTGGTAGTGGAGCGCTAAAATAATAATGTTTTTTTTAATGACGTTTTAACCCAAAATAAACTAATTATGAATCATAACATTGGTCGTGAAAGCCCATGGTTAAAATGAATGAAAAACATCACTCGAATGCACTCCGATAAGAGTCCACCCATTGCCGTGAAAGAAAAACAAATGCAAGATTACACTTTTGGCAATGTTATTATTATTATTCGTGCCATTGTTGGACGCTTCTCCTTCCCCCCGGTCGCAAAGGACAAAAAAAACCACACTCGCAATAACGCCGATCATTTCATCAGTGGGTCTTGCTCTGGGGCTATTACCATAATGATTTACTGCGTATTTCCTAAACAAAGTGTTGTAACTATGAGGCATTCCGGGCGTTATGTGTGTCTGTAAATATTAACCGTGACCTTCGCCTTGACTGGTGTAGATTGATAAAATATGACCCAAAACTTTTTTTTGTTTTAATAAAAAATAAAATAAATAAACAAATCGAAGCCAGCCTTTGCGTCACGTCTCTGGGAGGCAAAGACTCGGCCTATATATACAAATGCAGAGTCCTCTCCCGCAACGAAAACTCAGCTCTTGCCCCTGTCTCACTAGTAGAGGTTTTTTGTTGTTGTTTCTATCATCTCACTTAATTCCTGCTATAGCACCGTTTATAACAGTGCATTAACAATCCCGAATCATCGCAGGGCATCGGAGGAGAAGCACATTCGAAGGCAATGTTCATTTAGGAGTTGCTGGTGAAGAAATCATTTAAAGAGACCCAGAGAACAGGGGGGCCGTCTGCCAGTGTGTGCGAGAGACACGTGCACGCACCGAGAAGGACGTTGCATTAAAAAGTGGAGCACATTTGCAGAGAAGCGAGAGATACGTGGAACAGAGGTTTTGCAACGGACAAGATCGAGAAGTGCAGTCGAGACAGCGAAAAGCAGACGCGCCTATATAAAGACATTGAGACACATTGACACATTTACTTTTGTTCGCATACATACAAGCAACCAGAGAGAGACACTGACACAATTGCAGCCAAGGCATTACGCCGGCAAGCAAACACTTATCCCATTAGCAGGGAAGAAGCTGTCACTGGGACAGACAGACAGACAATGAAATAGACACACCCCGGGACAGGCATAAACATTGAGACAGATACGGAGGCAGCAAGACAGGCGTTCAGATTTTGACATTTAAGATAGACATTTGAGACACGGAGACAGATATTGACACAGACAGACGTTAAGGCACCGAGGCAGAGCCTGAAAACGCATTGCCACAAAAACACACACGGAGACACTCAGAAAGACACCGATGCAGATATACATTGAATAATTGTGACACAGACCGGAATCAACATAGACACAGACACCGAGACGTTAAGACAGAGACACACGGCGAGACGCACCCCGAGACAGAGAGACAGACACACGGAGACAGACGAGCGCCCCAGACGCCGAGACAGACACACAGAGGACAAAGACACCGAGGGCATTGAGACATCGACACACAGCGCCGAGACAGAGAGACGGACACGCGCCGAGACAGCAGAGCGCCCGAGACACCGACACAGACACACAGAGGACAAAGACACCGAGGGCATTGAGACAACGACACACAGCGCAGAGACAGAGAGACAGACGAGCGCCCGAGACGCAGACGACGCAGAGAGCCAAATGACGCACGCGGTGACCGTGAGCCGGACCCGCCGCTCCGCGCTGTGGCGCGCAGCAGCCGCGCTGTGCCCCCACGCCGCCGAGCCGCCGCTGCCGCAGCCGCACGCCGCCGTCGCAGCAGCTGCAGCCCCGCTATGCCCGCACGCTGCCGCGCATCCGCAGCCACCGCCGCGCGTTCCCACGGCAGAGGCGCAGCGCACGCGCGGGGGAGGAGGAGGCGCGTGCCCGGCCGTGGCCGTGGGGGCCCTCAAGGGTCTTCGCGACGTGCCCGGTCCCAGCGTGTGGAGCTTCGCCGGCGACCTCCTGTTCAGGAGGGGCTTGAGCAGGCTCCACGAGCTGCAGGTGAGAACGCGCGCGCGTGATCGCGAGTCGTCCGGGATTAGCGGTGGGAATTCCACGTGGCTGTGTCGGGGGTTTGGCGGTTGATCCGCGGGGCGAGCGCTCTGTGGTTGGACTCACGCAGGGAGGTCTTCGTTGGGATGGTTGTTGGGTACGACGAGAGGCTGACTTGATGAATATGTGATGAGGAAGAGTGTGAATGCATTTAAAATAGCCCAAGTCGTCGAACTTCCAGCTTAACTTTGTCCATCAGGCCAACAGACATTGGTCATTTTAAGTTCCTTGCTGTCGCCCTGCTTGCTATGTCATAGCCTGTTCACAGATTCAGATTCTCGCACGTGAGCTGGATGGGACGAGACGTTAAATGTCACTTTTTTTTGCATAACATCGTCGCATTTATCCGATTTATGAAATGGAGTCTTTTTAGTCTTTATTAACTGGACGCGTAACGATGCATCGATCACAATTGATGAGCTACCCACACGGTACACGCGTGAAGCGATGCGCGCGAATGATCGTCCGTGTGCCTCGTTATGTAACAACGTCATTCTGCCTCATTTGGACGTAACCGTTTGCAACCCCTCTGCATGTCGAGCCACTGCTCATGATGTGAAGGGTCTCCTCACGCCGTGTCGGTCACGGGGGTCCCTTAGCCATACTTCACTACACTGGTCAGCGTTGGTTGGTGAATAACTTCACACCACTCCCCCCCAAAAAAAAAACACATTTGCCGATGATCAAATCATCTCGAAAGCGCCCTATCTCTGTGCATCCCAGAAGCTAAGCAGGGTATGAGCCCGGTTAGTGGTGCAATGGGTGACCAGCGGGGCTTGCCAGGTGTTGCAGGCGCGGGGCTGCCAGGCATGGCCAGGAGATGGCAGTGTGGAGTATGACCCCCTCGTCGACAGCGTGCTGCCGGGCTTTGCTCTGTGTTCGGTGGTTTCCTCCGACAATGAGCCAAATGCTCATTGATGTACTCTTTGGTTCTTTCGGTAAAGTCACGTAGGTATAGAATAAAAAATGTACGTGTTTGGCCAAACATCTCAATGTAGCAGGACCCTCCTGAATAGAGTACTAAGATTCCATGGGGCTTTTCTTAGTTAAATTTACATTATCATTCGTAACATTATGACATGCGGTGCTGTAGTCCTGCACTGTGCTATAACTTGTTGCCTCCGAAACGTCGTGATTTTTATATATTTTTTTACTTTTATTAATTTTAATTTTTTACCTACGTGACTTTACCGAGAAAACCTAAGAACATCAATCCTTGCAGTCACGAAAGCTTCAAATCTAGAACTTCGGAGTATACTTTGCGCGACGTTCATGTCCCGTCGTGCCGTGCGACCCGCAAACGCAGATCGAGGGCACCCGGCGCTACGGCCCCGTGTGGAAGGCGCAGTTCGGACCGTTCGTCACGGTGCACGTGGCGTGCGCGAAGCTGATGGAACAGGTGCTGCGCCAAGAGGGCGCTCACCCCATTCGCTCGGAGCTGTCTTCGTGGAAGGACTATCGCACGGAGCGCGGCCACGCGTTCGGACTGCTCACTGCGTGAGTATCACAGCCGTGCAGCTGTTCACAATGAAGGTGTTTGGGTTAGATCACGTGTCGCGACCCTCCACCACCCGACACGGCCAATCGGTAACAAAAAATGCGTCACGTTAACAAAACGCCAATTCGTTACTTCTTCAGCCCACCGGTGTGTTTGAAGAGTGAATCCACAACATTTAGAATGTGAGTTGTACGACGTCTCGCTGGTAATTACATCCAGCATCCTGGTGCGATTTGCCAGAACTGATTGGCCGTGTCGGGTGGTGGAGGGTTACGACACATTTATAAATAACGCGATCTAACCCAAAAACCTTTATTATGTATGATACTGGTCGCGAAAGCCTACGTGTTAAGCAGCCATAACACTACTCCTCGTCCCCCCACCCCCCCTCCTGACACACGGTTCTCTGGCTTGACCGCCTGAGTGTACAATTATTGCTGTTGTTGTTGTGCATCTACATCATCAGCCATTCGAAAGAAGAAGACGGAAGACTGCGTGAGTGTTGCGCAGTGGCCCTACCAGCCGCCCGCACCCCCACCACCACCACCTTTTGTGTCCAGAAGAATGAGGGGCGGACAAACACGCCGGACGATTGACTGTGTGTCCCACGCAATTAAAACCGATGCATCTGGGTCATGATCGTGGCAGCCTTGTGCCCCTGTGTGTGTGTGTGTGTGACCCAATGATGTGTTTGTTGTGTCATACCTAATAATCATCATCATTAATGTCATCATCATTATTATTGTCAAACACACGTGTATATAATAGTCATGTCATTCCTGAATCTGCGATGCTTTAACAAGATGCGGGGGCTACACCCATCTCCGCTAGTAACCCTGAGCCACGCAAGAACAGTTCACACTCCGATGGCTGCAGGAAAGCCAGTCTGTCCGTAGTCTGACAATCTCTGACTTCTCGTCAATTCAGCACCCTTGTTCAGGGCGGCCGTGATGCCCTGTTCAAGACAGGCGATGACGAGCTGCTAAACTGGATACTTGGCCTCTCTATATATCTAGATTTGAACCTCACAAAAAGAAATATTCAGGGCCTACCTTGGCTCCTCCCACCCTCAACCAGTATATATGCAATTACTGTGCTCTTGGAATTTCTCTCACTTGATACAGCTATCGTGCTGTGACGGTTCCACCTGAAGACGGAAGCTTGTGTTGCCTCCGAAACGTCGTGATTTTTATTTTATTTTACTTTTATTAATTTTAATGTTTTACCTACGTGACTTTACCGAAAAAAACCTGAGAATATATTCTCTATATTTCTTCCATACATGTTGGCTTCCAAACCATCCGGGCAGATGACCGATGAGTGCTCGTCATTCGACGCCGTGGCAATGACGAAGAGCAGGCATACAACAATTGTCTTTGTGCTTCCCACCGGCTGTTACGGCAGCACTCCGATGTGCAGCAAAAACAAAACGTCGGACCATCGTGCCGCACAGCAAGCCGGAACAACTCTAAGAACACACCTCAGAGCTACGCAGCACAGCCACGAAGACTCGTGCGTTCACAACGCGGCTGCCTTCACAATCCCCCCACCCTCCTCCCCGTGACCCAAGGGGTCTCATCCTATGCCACTCGCTCCGGTGCCCTTCATCCTCCACTCAGCTGTGGCACCTTCATCCTCACCGAACCCCGACGACAGGTGGGGGTCGCCGCGGTGGCGAGATGTTAACTGCCTCGCCCGGTGTACGGGAAGTCGCGGGTTCGATCGGGACCCTGACGCCTGCTGTTTATTTGGAGTCTGCGTGTCTCTTTCCCCGTGGTGGGCGTAGATTTTTCCCTCCGGGTCCTCCGATTTTTTTTCCCCCTCCGCATTTTAGACTCAACATCAACGCGTTCCGAGTCATTTGACTGCTAGAAATGTTCCACATGACGATAAGCATACTTCGTTAAGCTAACCAGGTCGCTTCTGAAACAAAAGAAGAGCTGCATATCTCAGCGGGCCTTACCTGGCAAAATAAAATAAAATAACCCTCCCCCCTTCCCCCACTCCCACCGCCTCCTCCTTTTGCCTGCCCCATTGTGCCACGACGCGTTGTGACAGGGAGGGAGAGGAGTGGCAGCGCTTACGCCGGGTGATCGGAGACCGCATGCTCAAGCCGGGCCGCGCCGCCGCGTACACGGCCCCCCTCCTCGACGTGGTCGGCGACCTCCTCGACAACGTGGAGAGGCAGCGAACGCAGAACCAGGGCCTGGTGCGGGACGTCTCGGATGTCTTCTACAAGTTCGGTCTTGAAGGTCCGTGTGCGAGCTTCGACAAAAAACCAAAACATCTTGAGCACGCCGCACGCCAATGGGTGGACTCGGATGTTCACGAACGCGCAGTGGATGTACGCGGCTCTGCTGCGGTGGCTCTTAGTTGTGTATTTGGGGTTGTACCGCGTGTTGTTAGGGGCCGTCCATAAATGACATCACACACCTGGGGGGGTGGGGGGTCAGACATTTGTGACGATGTGTGACGATGGGGGGGGGGGGGGGTGAGAAATGTGACGTCACATCAAAATGCGCAACTTTAAATAAATATCGACAACACGTTCTGCTTAAGTATACTTTTTAATAAATGTTTTCTCCTAAAACATCAGAGTACAGCGCCACATTCAATACGCACTACAATGACAATAGTTTAAAGCGATTTGAAGCATTTTTATTTTTGGGGGGAGGGGCAGCAGAGTTTTGTGACGTCATATTTTTTGTGACGCCGTGTGACGAGGGGGGGGGGGTCAAAAATCGTCCAAAATCGCGTGACGTCATTTATGGACGGCCCCTTAGGCACGGGAGTCCGACGTTTCGCCCCAAGTGCGTACAAAGAAACAAACCATTGGAGAGCGACTCAGCAGATGTTGACGAAGCGACTGACTTATGGCCGCTTCGACGCAGCATTGGCGACGGAGATGTCGCCAATGCTTCCATCAAAAACTTTAACGGAAAGGACCATTTGCCCACAGAGCGTGAATGGAGCCGTTTGTGTTGAGCTGGGAGCTTGACACGCATAATAAGTGAAGCATCAAAGCACCGACGTGTTTGTTAGCTTATTTGCCGAGCATAGAATTCGGAGTACAAATTGGAATGTGCTAAAAGTCATGCATACTTCGACGGACGTTTGCATAAGTCCCTTTAAACGTGAGTTGGGATCCACTTCAAGTTGTTTATGTGGATCATGATAACGCATTAATCTGTTTGTAATATAAAATATAATTGCAACGAAAAAATGCACCCAGCAGAATGTCTAATTTATAGCCCCAGTTTAGACGGGGAACTATTTTTTTGGTCCGACGTTTTAATCGAATCTCACAATTTTTAATCAAGCTCTGAATTCAATGTTTTGCACGTGGATTGCTAAGCGATTAGTCAACACGGATCTCCGGTCTGTGGGCATGTCTTTGGGACTGTTGCCGCAGATCACCGAGCCGCACATAACCGATCGGAAAGCACGCGGGCGAGGTCAGATAATTGCAGAGATTTTTTTTGTTGCCAAAAGCTCCGTAAATTAATACGCGGTTTTGTCTCACGCTGTGACCTTCAAGGGCACTGCGACCCGAATTCATCGCATTGCAGGCCACTGGTATTAGTGATGGATGAGCGGCTGTGTGCGTAACCCCCCCCCCCCCCCATCTTATGTTTGTTTGGAAGTAAAATGCAACGGTTTGCGATAGACAACGCTCAGACATGCGGGGAGGCAAGCACATTTCATCAGTGGAGACGCGCTACCACGTGGCGTGCTGTGTGTATGCGCGCGCGCGCGTGTGTGTGTGTGCAGACGCCCGCGTGTTTGCAATCAGGGTTAGCATCCTGGCCATGTCCCTCAGTGAACATATTGATGTAAATCTGCTATGGACCTTTCGTTGATTGACCGAGGCCGAAAGGAGCGCTGTGTTGCAATCACAATGCTATTGCTTTGAAGTGGAATTGACCAAACAGTGCAACAATGCGGGCACCTCCTGAAAAACAACCTTCATTTCATGGTGAATCTTTCCTGGATAAATAAAGGCATCATCGTTGTGTTAATATCAACTTTCAGCGATATGAAAACGCGGTAGGCGTGGCATTGATACCACCACACAGCGGTGCGCTGTCCTGTTCTTCACGTGCTCACGAGCAGGACCTTGTCCCTGGATCTGCGATGTGAGATTTGTTTTTGTGTTGCAGCAGAGGGATAGTGCGCAGTGCTGCGGTGATGCGGATTGTGAGCGGTCGCCAAGAATGTTGTGGTTAAATGACTGCAAAAGGTTACTAAAAGGGATGCTGCGTAGAGTGTGCTTTGAAGAAGAAGAAGTGCAGATGTGGGCCGGGTGGCTCAGAGGTCAGCGTTCTGAGCCAGCACGTCTGAGATCTTAGAGTTTAATCAGCTGTGAGTGGTTTGGTTGTATTCTCAAGTGTAGCGAGTAGATGGTCCAAGCCCGGTCACCAATGGCTGCACACATTAAAACTGTCACGTGAAGTTTGGCGTTGCACTTAATTTGGCAACATTTCAGCTCCAGAAAAATTAAACCGAATATATCAGTTTTGACTGTGCACGCGACAATCTCAATTTGAACAAAGAATATCTTCCACACAGCGGTTCTCCGACACAGCAGCGGGGGCTCCGATTAGCATGGCTGGCTGCGTACGGTGCAAAATAAGTTCAACATACATTACATACATACTGCTTGCGGGGATTTAAAAGTGGATCCATCATCTCATGACGACGATGCAGGCGGCAGGACTGTAAGGGGCGGGGGGGGGAACCCCATTTAAACAAGAAATCAAATATAATGTTTGTGCTCGAATTCTGTAACGCTCTCCAACATGCGTTATATCCTCGGAAGTACTTCATCAGCGTTTCGTTTCGAGGCCACATAATGAGATGACGTCACACGGCTCATGACGTAATTAGAAGATGAGGGAGACGGAGGGGGGGGGGTTCAAACTTTCTTTTGGAGCTGATTTTGTTTTTTCTCTAAACACCGTGAGATTTTTCTCGTCTCAAATTTTTGGGCAATCCTCTGATCATTTTTTTCTTCCAGTTTTCAAATTAGCAACGTAACTTGATACTAAATTTTTATTCAAATTGGATCATCTTTTCAAAGTTTCTTACCCACCCCCGTTACAGACAGAGTTAACGCTTTCAACATTAGCTACGAAGCGTTTAAATATCACGTGTGAGCAGTATTTACAAGAGTAGACCAACGTTTGTGTTTTGGGTCAAATCGAGCCATTGGTTAATATAACATCAAAATGCATTAATCATGCTTGCGTTGCACAACCAATCGGCCACACATCCTTCTGGGACTGCGCTTTATCCAGCCTCGTCGTTCCAACGCAAGTCAAACTCTGCAGCGGTCTCGACGTTTCCGAGCGTACTCATCGGCGCTTTCTGATCGACCGATTCGTCTGTGCGCCTGCAGGGATCGGCGCGGTGCTGTTTGAGGCTCGCCTCGGCTGCCTGGCTCCGAACGTCCCCGAGGACACTGAGCGCTTCATCCAGGCCATCAACAGCATGTTCCAGCTGACGCTGCTCACAATGGCCATGCCGCGCCCGCTCCTCTGGCTCTACCCGACTCCCTGGAAGCGCTTCGTGGCCGCCTGGGACTGCCTCTTTGCCTTCGGTACGGGCGCCGCAAATGGGGCAATCGGGAAGGGTCGTAAAGTGAGCATCGTTCGGACTTTGAGAGTTTTATATATATAGTAATAATAACAAACATTTTTGTCGTGCAGCAGACTTGGTGAGCGATAGAGAAGTTAGCTCAATTTCATCGCTTTTGTCGAACTTATAATCCCTTGCATCGCTCTCCGATGTCTTCTCGGAGTTGTCCGGCGCGTTCACGACCAATGTCTCTCAACGTTCTCGGGGGGAGCTCTTTCACTGTACTCCCAGCACGTGGCGTGACACATCGGACAATGACGCCGAGCAGCATTGCTGCACAATCTGAAAAGGCATTGGGAGAGCCATAGAGCCACAAACTGCGATACGCCAAGCCATGAGTATGGCCTGGATTGTTCCTGTGCATAACAGCAGGAGTAGTAAATTGCCCATACATGGATAAATGGCCTTCAATGATGCGTTGCTTGAATAGTTCTCATTTCCCATGTGTCCACACACACCGTGTTGTGATTGTCATCAATATGCTCGCGCTATATATATTTTAAAAAGGCCAAGTCTACGTTGGGTGGCACTTATCTACCGTCTAGAGCTCCAAGCCAGTGGTCAAAATCCATACATCCATAGCACAATGTCTGTTGACTATTGTTTTTATTTCACCTTTCGGGATGACGGGCTGAGTCAACACCCGACTGGGAATTGAACTGACAGCCTATCGATTGGAAGTGGTGCACTAAACTACAACGCAAATCAGTTGACTTAAAATCCTCTTTCAGTTACTTGTGTAATTCCCACACGGACACACAAACACACATTGTTGATGGATGCATGGAAAATGTGTGGCGTGTGACGTTGAAATTGGGGCCACGTCATGATTTGGGATATGTTTAAATGGCTGTCTGATCGATACGCTGAATTCTCCAAATTACCTTGACAATGGTGAAATGTGTGCGTGACATCAATCACGTCCGCATTAACTACGTACCAGATGCTCAAGCATTTCCATAGCAGTTGGTTGGGTTCTCTAAACATGCATACACACGGTGAACCCTCAGTTGCCCGAGGGCGCATTATCTGGGCTCGCGGATGAAGCGAGCTTAAAAATAATATTGTTGTTTTACACGTAGACCGGATTAAATATCTGGTGCTCCTCACCTGTTGGAGGTGACGTAATTGTCAAGTAAAGTTAAATGAGTGGCTTGATCAATTAGGTACGTATGTATGTTGAACTTCTTTCACACCGTACGTAGCCAACTGTGCTAATCGGCGGTGCGGTGAATGTACAACAAACTAAATACAAAAAGCAGTTCAGAATCAGAATATTTGTTTATACTGGAGGAATCCGATGAACTATAAATTATCTTTTTCACACATGCCCAGTAGTTCACAGATGTCCAGTAGCTCACAGATGCCCAGTAGTTCACAGATGCCCAGTAGTTCACAGATGCCCAGTAGCTCACATATGCCCAGTAGTTCACAGATGCCCAGTAGTTCACAGATGCCCAGTAGTTCACACATGCCCAGTAGTTCACAGATGCCCAGTAGTTCACAGATGCCCAGTAGTTCACAGATGCCCAGTAGTTCATAGATGCCCAGTAGTTCACAGATGCCCAGTAGTTAAGAAGCAATAAAGGTGATTAACAGTCTACGTCTTCAACTCAATTCCGTGTCCGTAGGTAAACGATGAATCCGGTCCCTACGGTCCAATCCACATAAATACTTGGCACACACCGTTGTTTACGATTGATCTGGAGCACCCCTCCCCACCATCACCCCGAGTGACCGAGAAGTCGACTTTCCCCACGTGCTCGCGGTCGTGCCGTGAGCAACCTCGTGACCGCGCGTCGCTTGGCCGTGATGTCCGTAGCGGCAGCCGCGGGGTTTAAACCTTCCGCCTTCGAAGAGACTGGGACCCCTAAACGCAACAACATTTGACTGTCAAGGCCCGCTCGGCCACGCGAAACCTGGCCATCGCGGCGAACGACGCGAACTCGTGAAGCGCGACGGGGATGCGACGCAGTGACGTTCCCTGTCGACGATGTCCAAGCGTGGCCGACATCGCCGCCGTTGTGACGCGCGATTCTTTTTCTGCGAGCAGCGAAGACCCACATCGACTCGAGGCTGGCCGAGCTGAGCGAGCAGACGCGGCGCGGCGAGGCGGTGCAGGAGAGGGTCCTCGCCTACTACCTCTCCCGCCAGGACCTCTCCATGCGCCAGATTTACGGCAACCTGACGGAGCTCCTGCTCGCCGGCGTGGACACGGTGAGGATCGCCGACACAGACGCCCACCCCCCCTCGCGTAGCGTCGCGCCGATCGCAGCATCGCGGCGTGAATGCCAAGGGGGAGATGGGTGGCCTGATGCGTAATACGCGTACGGCGGTTAGCGTCCTTGTCCAATGAACCTACCCCCCCCTATTCTGAGTTCAATTCCCCGCCGCAGCGAACATCGGCGGCGAGTGATATCTGAAACAGTTCTGCCCACTTACTAGCGTGGTGAAATATGGTTAGATAATCCCCCCGGCTAACCAACGTGGCGGTGGGTGCACGAGACGCTGCGGCATCGCCCCACCCCCCCAGCCCAACCCTCTACACAACTTTTGCAGCATTGAATCAGCCCGAACTCCGCCCTGCCCTCCCGACTTTGCTGTAGAGGCAGCTCGTACACCACGCACACCAACCCCTCCTTCCTCTCGCTAGTGGGTAACAGGGCACCATGGTGGCAAAATGTAAACTCCCTCGCCTGGTATACAGGAGGTCGTGGGGTCGATCCCGACCTGACGCCTGCTGCTGTATATTTGGAGTTTGTATGCTCTTCCTCCACGTGGTCATGTGGATTTTTCTCCGGGTCCTCCCGTTTTCCCCTCCACTTTTAAAATCGACGAGAAGTTTAGGGTATTTTGCTGCTATACATTTCCACATGAGAAGCCAGCCACCTCGTTGAGCTATCATTTGTGTTGGCCAGGTCGCTTGTGAAAAAGAGCTACACAGCACAGTGGCGCCTCGCCTGATAAAATAAATAGTTTAGTTTTAGTTCAACAGCACTGACGCTGCTGCCCAAGGAGCGCGCGGACTTGTCCGCGTGCGGGACGAAACTAACGTCCTCCCTCCTCCTCCCACTGCCCCCACCGCACGTGTCCCCGCACAGATCTCGAGCACCATGTCGTGGTCCCTGTACGAGGTGTCGCGCCACGCCGACCTGCAGGAGCGCCTGCACGCCGAGGTGTGCGCCGCGATGGGCGGCCGCGCCACGCCGGGCCCCGACGAGCTGGCGCGCATGCCGCTGCTGAGGGCCACCGTGAAGGAGGCGCTCAGGTGGGGAGCCGGGCTGGCCTTGCGCCGCTCATCCACGCGACAGGCTGCGGTCCATTCTTGATAAGCCTCCTCGTTGCGATGACTGCCACGTGGCGTCAACCGCGAGTGCGTCGAGCTTCTTTCGTGCCGCGCGTAGCCAACCGCGCTAATCGGAGGCGCCGGGGAGAAGGACCGCAGACTAACACGCACACACAAAGCAGTTCTACAGAAAACAACAAGCTATTTGTGAACAGCTCTTACATGCACTGGTGCGGTGTCATCCTGCAGGCTGTACCCCGTGATACCCGGCAACGCGAGGGTCTTCTCGCAGCGAGACGTCGAGATCGGCGAATACCTCATCCCGAGAGGGGTGAGCACCACGCGTGAGGCGCACGTCCACGGCCACTTTCGCGTTTGATCCGTGTAGCCAGGCGAGAACTCACGGGGCCAGGATAGTCTCTCCAACTAAACTAAATTTTATTTGACCAGGTAAGGCCCACTAAGCGATTATAGATCTTTTTTCAAAAGCGACCTGGCCACAAGTGAAAGCCCAGCGAAGTGGGCTTATGATCGTCGTGTGGAAATGTATTGCAGCCAAATACTCTAAACGCGTGATGTTGATTCTAAATGTGGAGGGAAAAACCGGAGGATCCGGAGAAAAATCCACGCGACCACGGGGAAAGCGAGAGAACACAAAAACTCAAAATATGCAGGCGTCATGGTCGAGATCGAACCCACGACCTCCTTTATACCAGGCGAGATAGTTAACATCTCGCCATTGCGGCATCCCCATTTCATTTGCAAGAGTGGCCTCGCGTATTAGTCTGCCAGTAGAGGTTGGGGTGGGGAGAGCGATGATGGTTGTGTACAATCCCAATTGATTGATTTGTGGTGTAACTTCAATATATGCACGTGATGCCTGTTACGAGTCACTCTCGCCCTGAGCCAATGAAATGCCACCAATTTGGAGTCAAACGTTGACTATTTTGCACGTGTGCCTAGACCACACCTGGCACTCCCAGGTGGTCTCCCCACCCCAGCACCAGGCAAGCTCAATCCTGTGTAGTTTAGTCTTGATTTGTGTAGTTTGTGTAGTTTGGGTGCGCTCAGGGTGGTTTTGTCCCAGGTGTGGGTCAACCTTCGTTTTGTTTCACGTTCGTGCCCCGTTTTGTGCAACAGACACTCATCACGCTGTGCCACTACGCCACCTCTCACGACGAGCGATACTTCCCGGAGCCGGAGGCTTTCCGTCCGGACCGCTGGCTCGACAAGGGAAACAAGAAGGAGGGGGAGGAGGGCATGCACTCATTCGCGTCCATCCCGTTCGGCTTCGGCAAGCGCAGCTGTGTGGGGAGGAGGCTCGCCGAGTTGGAGGTCCACCTTGCATTGGCACAGGTGAATAGCAAATTCGTACAAGCACGAGGTGGTCAGATGGTTCAGGGTGCTGGGACCATGACAGAGCTGAGATCGAGAGGTAAAATGTGGGGTTTAGACGCCAGTGATTAAATTAGTTTATCCGGCGTAGTGAGGTGATGGTTTCTCTCTGGTCACTAATGACCGCATAAAAAATTGATTTTGTGATCTTTTGGATTTCATTTAAGCAATTCCAGAAACAGTATTTACAACGAGCACAGTTTCAGTTCCATTGACATGAACGACTCCGTGGCAGCATCATTTAAAAGGTAACACAATGAGCCTGGAAATAAACAACAGCCACAATGATAGTTATGACACCAACTGACCATCGCCGATGTACCCCTTGCAGATCATAAAGAAGTACGTCATCAAGCCGGAGTCCAAGGACAGCGTGGTACGGCCCATGACACGTACCCTGTTGGTGCCAGACCGGCCCATAAACCTGCGCTTCCTCAACAGGTGACGGCCGTCTTCTGCTCAAGAAGAGATATGAACACAGCTGTCCGTTGATGTTTTATGAAGGGAGGGCGGCTATACCACGTGTCGTGGCCCCAGTTACTCTTGACCCTTTCAAGTCTTCCTTGGCCTCTGTGCCTATTGCAGCAAATTGAGAGGTGCGTACGGAGGCATCTCCCCAAGTTGATGGGGGAATAGCAAAGCGGTGGTTGTCTGTGTGGGGGATCCTTTCACTATAAAAAAGAGACCCTCTACAGAAAAATGAACGTGTTGGGAGTCCACAGATTGATGTCGAAGTCACGTGTTGCTCTGTAAAACGCGTGGGGCCGATGCGTGGAGAGCACTACCACTTGAATGTGGATCTGTGGTAACGAGGTGACGAAGAGAACGTGTCATCGGTTAGCGGGGCAGGTCCCAATGGGGGACAGGGCGAGCTTGTTTATCGTGCACGTGGGCGAAACTCACCTGGCCGGAATTCCATACGGAGAGGACGAGGCCTGAGATTCAAAACAACTTAACAATTTGGTGGAAGTCAAAATATGGAAAAAGTTCGTTTTTTGAGGATCTGCTTGCCTGTTTTGTTCCATGATCCGTGTTTGGTCATGGTAGCCTGGGTCATAGGATTGTGCTGGTCGTGGAGGGGTGGAGGGGGGGGGAATATATGGTTTGGGTTTTGCAAAAGTCACAACACCCACAACTGTATCATGAGCGGCGCAGGGCGGCAGTGTGACCGTCGACGATACCCGTATCAAAGCGTCATCTGAGACTGCTGGCACTCTTGACATCCGTGCCAAATGTGATCAGCGTGGGCGTGCACTTTGGAATGTTTGTGTCAGGGCATTCAGAGCTGCAATTCGGCAAATAATCAACGTAAGAGTATCTGCATCCTGTGAATAAGAAAACAAGTGGAGTGCTCTCCAAAAGGGCTAATCGGTGTCAGCGTGTCCAGCAAACACGTGGCCCACAGCCACCTCAAGAAGAGTTTCCAGCAACGAGAGAGCACAAATGTACTTTCGCTGCTGTCCACTGAAGTATTGTTTTATATATTATCTTTACAAAAAAATTAAGCCTTAAAAAAGTGACAATTTGTAAAAAGTGTTCCGTTCTGTTACTCACGTGTTATTCAAAGTAACTGTCACGGCGTGAGGCCTTCATCCAGCCGTGCATTGGCAAAGGGCTGTATGTTATTATGATGATGATGATGAAGAATTCAATGTACAGAAAGCACAACTATTTAATGAATGTAAATTATTCGTAATTACGCACTTATATTTTTTGTATTTTCATAACAATGCATATTTTAGTCTGCACGAATACGTTGTCGAAAATCACGATGCGTCACTTCACTGTGAGAGATGTAACTGCCACGTTCTTTGGCTCGAAATCTTATTTCAGGTGCACACCGTGCGACTTGAGCACTCATTTTTACGAACACGATGACAACGCACACGTGTGCGCGTTTAAAGTACTCTACTGCGTTTCAAGAGCATGGACTGTTGTTTATTTGTTTTATATACAATAAAATATGTCATGAGCTTTCAAATTAAATATTAGAATGCTGTGGTTTGATATTATATTTTCTTGGTTATCTTGTCACAAGGATAATATCAATGACTAGCCTTTTGCCCGTCCCAGGACTCGTGTATTGCAGTAAATCTGAAACTTGCAAGCGAAAAGCAGACCGCGACGTGATATTTATTGCATCAATGCGTGTGCAATTTGTAAGGGCGCGGTGACACAGACCTATTTCATTTAAATGTTATAATCCCTTGTTCATCGTGACATCCTTTTTACTTCGATGTCTCAACAGCGTGACGGAGATCGCGTGACGTGAGGGTTCTGTCTTTGTAGTGAGGGTTGTGAGTTGACGCCGAGGGGGGGGGGGGAGGAGGCACCTCGGCCCCCCATGTGGAGTGACGTCACCCGCTAATTATTATTAATGGTTGGGGATGCCCATTTGGAGGACGTCACCTGTTCATGATTATTAAAGAGGTGGGATGTTCGATGTGGAGTGACGTCACCTGCTCATGATTATTCACATTCTTTGAGTCGTTCGGTAAAGCCACGGAGATAGATCAAATAATGGAAAAAAAAATAACAATATCACGACGTTTCAATCGCAACACAAGCATTCGTCATCAGGTGAGAAATATCGCGGAAGAGCTGCTGAGAATATATGGTGGGAGCGCTGCTCAGGTAATGCGTTATAAAGGTTTGGGATGGTGTAGCCCAAGGGTCAGTGAGAGGGGCTAGAGATTAAATTTGCATGTAAATGTAAGATCGGGTAAATCTTGACAAACGAAGCTGTGGGGGTGGCCATTGTATTGTGAGAGATTAGCATGTCAATGTAAGAAATTTGCTTCTAAATGTAAGCTCGGAGATAGCTCGGAATTGATTATTAATGAGGGGGGGGGGGGGGAGTTCTACATGCGGAGTGACGTCACCCGCTCATGATTATTAATGAGGGGCGGGTCCATGTGGAGGACGTAACCTGTTTATGATTATTAATGAGGGGGGCTGGTCGACGTGGATTGACGTCACGCGCGTTCCACATTGACATTCTTGGGTGGTAATTGAATTCTTCTTGGTTCTTTCGGTGAAGTCACGTAGAAGGGAAATAATAAAATAATAAAAATAAAACATAATAAAATACAAATTCTCACGACGTTTCGGCCACAACACAAGCAGCCGTCCTCAGGTGAAGAAACAGAGCTGTCGGAAAGACAGTGTCCCAATGAACACCGCCAAGCTTGGCAGCGTATATTTAAGCTGGGTTAGAGGAGGAGAGCGCCTTGATACATATATCAACAGCGGAATTAAGCCTATTGATGGAAAATGCAGATATGGGATTAGTCACTCCTTGTGGAATGTGTAGGTGGTGGGGGGGGTCTCAAAGTCATATTATGCTCGTGTATTATGTAGGATTAGCAGTAATAAAGGGAGGGAAATTTTAATCGTAAGGAGCTGCAGCAGCCAAACCACCGCGTATCAAGCTCGTGTATTATGTGGGCAACAAAAAAGGGAGGAGTTTCTAAAGAACTGCAAATGCCCTTGAACTGTTATCAAGCTGTGTTACGAGGTGGGCAGCAGAGGGCAGTGCAGCAGAAGTACTCTGCAGTGTGGCCCCAAAAGACAAAAACGATGGTTACATTCACAAATTCAATCTGGTTATTTAATGCATCCCAACTGTTTCGATTTAAAGCTTTCGTGACTGCAGGGATTCATCTTCTTGGTTCTTTCGGTAAAGTCACGTAGAATGGAAACAATAAAATAATAAAAAATAAAGCAAATATTATTATACCGTATTATTTTAATATTTTATTTTATTATGTTTTATTTTTATTATTTTATTGTTTCCATTCTAGGTGACTTTACCGAAAGAACCGAGAAGATGAATCCCAACTGTTGTTCAAGATGACGTCCATTGGCATTAATGCGTGCATGGATCGTGACTGGCCTCGCCTGCTAGCAGTGGCACCGGTGCTAAGGGGCCGTCCATAAATGACGTCACGCACCTAGGGAGGGGGGGGGGTCAGACATTTGTGACGATGTGTGACGAGGGGGGGGGGGGGTTGAGAAATGTGACGTCACATCAAAATGCGCAACTTTAAATAAATATAGACAACACGTTCTACTTAATTAAATAGACTTTTTAATAAATGTTTTATCCTACAACATCAGAGTGCAGCGCCACATTAAATACGCACTACAATGACAATAGTTTAAAGCGATTTAAAGCATGTTTTATTTTCTAAATATAAATATGGTTTTGGAGGGGGGGCAGAGCTTTGTAACGTCATATTTGAGGGGGGGTCTGACTTTTTGTGACGCTGTGTGACGAGGGGGGGGGGGGTCAAAAATCGTCCAAAATCGCGTGACGTCATTTATGAACGGCCCCTAAAATGTGCAGACATTAAACCCAAGTCCAGCACACGAGAACCGAGTGTAGTAAGGGTTGCCAACAGCTCCTCCGGTGTTTTGAGCGGTGGTGCCCTTTCTCGATCTCGGTGTCGGTCCATTCCACGCCTCCGAGCGGACGTCTAAAGTTCGTTTTTTTTAGTTTTTGGCCCGAACGTGGACCGAGCAATGCGCACCACACCACGGGATGGATAGGCCTCGGAGGAACGTGGGGCTGAGCAAGTGTGTGGAGGAGGCTCTTGAAGGACCGCTACCGGGCAGTTAGTGGCAGTCCGCCCTCCAACAAACAGCGGAGAGCAGAGGTGTGACGCTCACAACAACAAGCGGAGCGCCGGGCGGGTAAAATGAAGAAAGTTTGCACAGTAGGGGGGGCACAGCTGGTGCATCTGCCAGTCGTCTAAGTCAGTCACCCCATGGCACAGAGTGGCAACGTCCCTCCCAAACTGTCCATGTTTATCAATTTATATTCAGCAGTTCACAATTAAGATAAGAAAATACATTAATTATATACACCCGCGATTCTTAATGTGAGGGACAAAGCGAACACCTGGCCGCCCCTCCAACACAGAGGTCAAACTCCACCTGTGCCCGTGACCTGGCTCTGTGCCCCGTGACCTCCTTAGCCAGCGAGCCTTCGATCAACAAACTTTCACGTGCGTGGCCTCTGCAGTTGTGCACCTGGCCTGGCACGGCCACCGGGGTTGACGTCTTCGCCGCTGAGTTGCCGCTGTGCTGAGGATTGACACGCGGCAAGGCGGCACGGAACACGCGGAGCTGAGCGCGCTGCTCTTTTAAAGGGGCCGTCCATAAATGACGTCACGCGATTTTGGAGGATTTTTGACCCCCCCCCCCTCGTCACACGGCGTCACGAAAAGTCAGACCCCCCCCCTCAAATGTGACGTCACAATGCTCTGCCCCCCCCCAAAAAAAATAACATGCTTCAAATCGAATCTTGATTTAAAGCTTTCGTGACTGCAGGGATTCATATTCTTGGTTATTTCGGTAAAGTCATGTAGAATGGAAATAATAAAATAATAATAAAATATTCATTTTATTTTATTATTTCCTTTCTACGTGACTTTACCGAAAGAACCAAGAATATGCTTCAAATCGCTTTAAACTATTGTCATTGTAGTGGGTATTTAATGTGGCGCTGCACTCTGATATTGTAGGAGAAAACATGTATTAAAAAGTATATTGAATTAAGTAGAACGTGTTGTCTATATTTATTTAAATTTGCGCATTTTGATGTGACGTCACATTTCTCAAACTCCCCCCCCCCCCCTCGTCACACATCGTCACAAATGTCTGACCCCCCCTCCCCCCTAGGTGCGTGACGTCATTTATGGACGGCCCCTTTAAAGGTGCGTGGCACGCAGCACGGAATTGGAGCACGGGTTGACGAAACCGGTCCGCACTGGCCCAGACTTTGGCTTCTCTATACAGCATGCTGTCGTCGCAAAACATTTGTTTAGTAGGCTGATAGGGTGAAATAAACATCGCGGACAAATACCCTTGTGTCTGCTTATTGCTTATTTTTGTATGTTTCAGTCTACGACCCTCCGTGATGGCTCAATGAGATATCGAATACATAAACCATTTTGCAACGTTGCATGGAATTGGGAAAGTCGACAACCCTGTCTACGATGTCATGTCGATACGTACAGTGGCCATTCACTTCATTTACTCGTCGAGACGAGACACCATCGGTTTTCGTTAAGAGCCATGCCGGACTCAATCACGTGCATGTTGAACCACCTGCTACTGGCAACCCTCAAGATCCACCACTAGATGGGGTCATTATCATTGTGAAAACGCCGAAAATTGAGCACGTTGCCCCATGTCATTCGTTGCAGGGCCCATGCCAGCTTGCAACATGGGGTATCAGAGTTGTTGATGCGTTTGTGTTCGTACTTGGCCCAGGAAAGCCTCACCGAGTCCCATGACTCTTATTCAGGAGGGTCCTGTCAAGATTTACGAAGGCGGCGATGGTGCAGGGAGATGATTGCTATGTACACTGCTGGATATTCCAATGGAGTCGTTTTCGGTGTAATTTTTGTAAATTTGGACCAGGAATCCGGCACACAATAACCTACTCTTGATAATTGGTTTTTTACCCTTTTTTTCTGGCAACAAAACTGACACCTTTTTTTACAAGAAGTCATGTTTGCATTGACCACAATACCTGCGTCGGAATGCAAACAAAAACACAACTCTGATAATGTATGCACTGTCCTTGAAATGTATTGGTCCACACCCGAGACAGCTTTCCTTAGAGCCTAGTCTCACATGGTGTTGGACCAGATGACGCCAAAAGGCGCACAACTCAAAGACAATGCATCTCGTCAAGGAACATAAACCATCACATGAACTCAGGACATCCTCGCAGCAGCGATATTTGGCTGGCTATCGAACAAAGACGGTCACTGCATCGCGCGATTTCAGATGCGCTTTCGCGGCCGTCTGGAAATGCTCTTGCTTCCGATATTAGGAAGCCACTGGAGCTATGCAATTTTAAATCATCTAGATTGACAACTCATTTGTGCTTATTTTGTTGTCCTTCCCGCGCACCTCCGATAAGCACGGCTGGCTACGTACGGTGCGAGAGAAGTTCAACACACATGCGTCACATGATCTTTTAACGTCCAGCGTGAAGCAGACGGTATTTTCACGGTCAATACACCCGCAGTGTTAATCGGGGCGGACGCTGGAATTCGAACCGTGAACGTCTGCAACAAGAATCGAATGCGCTACCAACGAGGCCGTGCGGCGCGGCCCATGATGCCGTGGTGTCATCGAGATTGTGCCACGGGGTTTGTTGCAGGGGGTTCACGTTGCCGTGCGCCACTCTGGACCTGTTGTCTGCTGTGCATTCCATCGCCACTGAGCAGGGGTTTAGTAAAAAACACACTGGAACCAGGGACTGGGTGGCAGTGGTGCGTAAAGCATAATTCCCCGTAAAAAAACACATTTGTCGTTTTCACTGGCAGAAGCGTACATGTAAAAAGACACACAGACATTCCGAGCACGTTTAATTTATTAGTGGTGTTTATTTTAGAGCTTATTATTACGCAATTTTATTTAGCTTTACAATGTTTATCTACATTGTGTTGTTCGGGTATACGGTCTGAGTTGTGTAAAGGAACTTGATAAAACATCTGGATCATTACCCAGGTCCTGATAATCCAATTTTCCTGGCACTCCATAACACTGTATTCGGCACTCTGCTGTAGGGACCGGCTCTTGAGAGTGACAACCCTGCAAGGTTTCTTCCCTGTGCTACAAGAAGGCTGGATCAAAACCAAGGCCCTTTCTGTCAGTGCCTCATTATCCAGAATTCAGTTTGCTGTGGCCTTCACGCCCTCAGAGGTGGGTTATAGCAGCCCGAGGCATGCGACAGTGCCACATTACGGCCCAGGATGGCCTTGTTTTTCGGTCTTGCATCATGAATACGAGGTGATATTTGCGTCCGTAGTATTTATCTGCTTCTACCACCTGAACATTGCAATGTAAAAAAGTTTCGTTGTCCTGTACTTTAAAAAGCGTGTTGTTTATATGTACAGCAACAAAAATCAGGCGACAAAAATACGACAGCGTTTAAGTTTGGATAATATACAAAAAGGGAACCAATTGGTCATCCCTATAATAAAAAAACAAATACGGTAATATACCGCCTGCAGTGACCAAGTATAAAAAACAGAGGACTAAAACAAGTGTAAACTGCAGATGTGAACGCGTAAAAAGTACTACGACGTCAACAACAGCAACAGAGCACAATCCCAATGTCCCCCCATCGCTCTACCCTGCACATTTTAACTTAGTGTCGTTTGCTCCATCCATCGTGGGCGGTTGCCCAGTTAAAAAAATACTAAAAAAATTGTCGCTCGAGCAGGAGGAGGAGGCGGCAGCTCGTGGAGCCCTATTTGTGTTCAGGAGGAGGCCGGGTTGGTGTGCTCCACCAGGCACCGCGGGCAGTGTGCCTGCACGAAGCGCAGCGCCTCCGCCGCCACGCCGTCGCACTCCTGCACGCTAAGCAGCCGCAGCCCGCGGCAGCCCAGCGCCACGGCGCTCAGCCCGCGGCCCGACACCGCCCCGCAGCCCCTGAGGCCCAGCCTCTTGACTCCCGGGCAGCCCCGCGCGAGCGCCTCCAGCCCTGCGTCCGTCACGAGCGGGCAGCGGCCCACGTCCAGGCTGCGGAGCCTCGCGCAGCCCCGCGCCAGCGCCTCGAGCCCCCGGTCGGAGACCCCCGCGCAGCCGCGCGCGTTCAGGTAGCGCAGACCGGGGCAGTGGCGGCCCACGTGGCGGAGGGCGGCGTCGGTGACGCGGGCGCAGTGGGCGAGGCTCAGGTAGCGCAGGCGGGGGCCCGCGGCGGCGGCCACCTCGCCGAGGCCCGCGTCCGTGGCGTCGGCGCAGTCGCACAGGCTGAGCTCGCGCAGCGAGGCGCCGCAGTGGCGCGCGAGGGCGCGCAAGCCCGCGTCCGAGACGCCGGCGCAGCGGCGCACGTAGAGGCGCGCGAGGCGCGGGCAGTGGCGCGCCACGGCGAGCAGGCCCTCGTCCGTGAGGGACGAGCAGCCCGACATGTCGAGGTGGCGCAGGAGCAGGTGGCGGCCGTGCAGCGGGCAGGCCTGGCACGACGGCTCGGGCGTCAGGCTCACGCACGTGATCTCCGGGCAGTCTGCCGATGCGCGCACGGCAAACACGCAATTGGGTTGCGAACGCTTAGGGTTGACTCCAGGATGGGATTGTACCATCGTGGGTTTTTTGCGCGGGCTCGTCGTGTCAAGCGCTCACACACACACGCAGACGAGACACACAAGCATCACGTGCACGCAAACCGGTCCATAAATCCTCCTTGACACACACACAATAGTAGTTTTCATCTTGACAATATGTCCCTTGCCAAAGGAAAGCAGAATTTTCACCAGTGGCCGAGACTGTCGGGGGAATCGAGCAATGTTCCACTTTAGCAATCTATCCAACCGCTTAGTAGCAGGCTACAAGTGCGATCGGCATGTTGCTTTAGGACATTTATAACCTAGGCCGATCGATGCATTTCCCAATGCAACTCCTCCGAGACGTGGCAGAGTGCCAGGCGTTCGTGGCCCTCCGCCAAGAAGTCTTTGGCAACCCGACCAAGTTCAGCTTCAGGAGCGTGGGTTTCAAATACTGTACAGGTAAATAGTGAGGATTGCCGTCTGGTAGACATGCCGGTTGTGAAAAAAGAATCCAGCGCAAATATAACCGTGACGAGTCTGTTGAGAGATGGGGGAATGGTGACATCAATAGAGGAGAGGACGAGTGAGATTATACTTGAGATGGTTTGACAGGTGACCAGAAGTTCCGGAGACGACATCGTTAAGGCAAGGACAGAGAGGGGAGATCATAGAAGACCAAAGGAGACAATGAGTTTGGGAGGAGATGCGTCATTGCCACGAAGATGGCGATGGATCGGAGACTGGGGATAGAGGACTCGTGTATGTAAAACTTATTTTGCAATGTACGTAGCCAACCGTGCTAATCGGAAGCGTGGGGGAAGGACAACAAACTAAACACAAAAGGTAGTCCTAAAGAAATGAGTTTTCAATCTAGCTTTAAAAGTGCGTAGCTCCAGTGGCTTCCTAAGTTCGGAAGGAAGAGCGTTCCAGACGGCCACAGAAGCGCATCTGAAAGCGCCACGCGATGCGGTGACCGCCGTTTTTGTCCGATGGCCAGTGGACCCCACCTAGCGGGGGAAACACTCAGGGGAGGGAGAAGAAGAAGAAACCGGCGTGTTCGTGGCGACCGGCGCGAGCGAGACTTGCCAGAGACGTCGAGGTGCTCGAGGTTTGGGCAGCGCGTCACGACCTCCAGGATGCCGCGGTTGGTGATGCGGGGGCAGCCCGACGCCTCGAGACGCCGCAGCTCTGGGCAGCGTCGCGCCACGGTGAGCAGCCCCTGGTCGCCCAGCCCCGCCGAGCCGCTGAGCACCAGAGCCTCGAGCGTGAGACACACGTACGGCGTGTCCCGGCACAGCCGAGCCGTCAGCGCGTCCAGCGCCCGCTCCACATCCTGCTCCCCTCCGTCCCACGGCCTGATGGTGCACAGGTGAGCGTTGAGCAGGTGTTTACCTGTGTGTGTGTGTATGTTGAACTTCTTTCGCATCGTACGTAGCCAACCGTGCTAATGGGAGGTGAGGGGGAAGGACAAACTAAACGCGAAAAAGCGGTTCTCAAGAAATTAGTTTTCAATCTAGCGTTGAAGGTGCATAGCTCCAGTGGCTCCCTAATATCGGAAGGAAGAGCGTTCCAGACGGCCGCGGAAGTGCTTCTGGCTGTCAGCCAAAAGCCGCCGCTGGGAGTGTGACCGCAGTTCGCGTGATGGCTTACGCTTCTTTGACGGGATCACCAAGGTATCGTGGTCCATTTGTGGCAAGCACTTTGTGTGCAATGAGCGCGACCTTATTATGATGCATTAGTTCGGCAACCGGAAGCCAATGCAGCTCAATTGTGAAGAAGTGTGGTGGTGGTGGTGGTGGGGGGGTGTAGAGGTGTGGAAAGAGCGGCTGCGGAGGACCGACGATCGGCAGCCGCGGTCCGTGATTTGGGGACAACGAGCGGAGGGGCCTTAAAGTTGTGGCTGCTAAGATTTCCCAAACAAGGGCGATCGAGATAATTTGGCTGTAAATGCATTGCGATTTCTCGGTGACAATTTGCACGCGGCTGGAATGATGAATTTGATTTCTCCTGCCAGAGCAGTGTGTTGGCCCCAGAGTCTCTGCAAGGCAAACCCAAAATACTTATTCAAGATTGAGCCTTTGATGGTGTTCATGATCTTAAAAACACTAAGGGCTCGTAAAATAATGTTTAATTTTCGTATGCTTCCTACTGCAACAAGACAATCAATTTAACCATGACAGCCGCCACTGGCTGATTGGAATGTCCTGTGATGCAGGATGGCGGTGAAGTTACACTAATTAAGAAAATAAATGCGCGTATTAATTACAAAGGAAAACAATGCAATAAAGCAAACGCGCGTCTCAGGGTACAAACGGATATATTCATCAAAATGCTTGGACTCTCTTCACAAAGAAGTGTCAATTTTATGCATGGTGATTTTTATAAGAAACATTAAAATATAAGAGCGCTAACATCTGCGTGCATATACGTGCACGTGGTTGCCATTTGTTCACGACGTCGACACTGCCGTAAATGGGTACCTGGTGCAGTGTGTAAACAGCATCACCGGAGAGACAAAGGCGGCCGGGCGTGATGCACGCCACCCCAACCCATCATGTGTGTGCTGTGGCCAGCCTTCATAGGTGCTCGCTAACAGCACTTGCCCCAGTAGTCTTGTAAAGGCTATATGGGGGATATTTGTCTTTGTCCACTCTGAATGGAGGTGCTTTTGAACTAATGTACACCCCTCAGATAAAGTACATCTCACCGGAAATTAAGTTGTACCGTGTGCTTACCTTTGACACTGCTCTTTTGTTTATTGTTGGTGTGTTGTGTTAAACATCGAATGTTGTGAACGTGTTTGCTCTGTGACACAGGAATGCTTTCAGAAATAGAAGTTTAGTCTAACAAGGCTCTCGTCCGGTTTAAACAAAAACTATTTGATGATGACGATGGTGGCGATTATATGAATAATTAGGAGATGCGCACAATTTGACGCACGTAACGTGAGCATGACAATCAATTATGAATGAAGAATAATAGATTGGTGATCACCGTGAGAATGTCATCAGCTGCACCACCAGCACGCATCAGCAAGGCGTCCTTGCGATCAACGGGAAAGTTTGCGGATTGGCGCAGCGATTCCGCACGCCGGACCGACCGGATGCTGCGTGGGAATGCGCGCGTGGGCCGTGCCTACTTGGGGAAGATCCACATCCTGCCAATGCTGGTGGCCATCCAGCCGAATGCCATTACCGCGGTGATCACCCGTCCCACTCTTCGTTCACAATCGATCGTCACGCTCGCGAAACGGCGCCCGTCGCCTCACTCACCCGAGCGTCACCGCCTTCCAGAGGCGCGGGTCCCACGCCACCAGGTACCAGCGTCGGCAGACGCGCGCGCACCTGCACAGGCTCTCGGCGGCGAGGTTCGCGAACACGCGCAGGAGCAGCCAGTCGGGCAGGCTCTCGATGGAGAGCGGTCTCTTGCCGGCCTCGCCCTTCGTCGGCCGCGCCGGCGGCACCTCGAGCTCCAGCCGACTCAAGCCGAGGGCGAGCGCGGCCGTGGCGTTTTCGCGATCGACGGGGACGCCGACGCACGCCGCCGCCGATGCCTGCCCGCGTTGGTTCGGATGCTGCGCTGCGGGAACGCACGCGTGGGCCGTGTGCATTTGGGGAAGATCGATGCCTTGCTGACGCTTATGCTGGTGATGATGATGATCTGGCGGCGGCTGATGTTGCTGCTCACGATGCTCCTGGCATCTTTCTGGCAAGGCTCTTGCGGATCGTTCTCGCTGCGCGGAGGACGAGTGAGAGCTCGGCGATGAGTGGGAATCGGCGGAGCGCGTGGACACGGGCGAGGATGACAGCGAGCTCAGCGGCTGTGGGGAGAGAGACTGCCTCGTGGAGCTGTGCAGGGGACAGGGCCTGTGCTTCTTTAACGTCCTCGTGGGAAACATTCTCTGGCCGACTGGCTGCCCGGACTTGAGGCGGGCGTTGCTGGAAGACGACGGTTGAAGCGGAGGAGGTGACAGTGACCTGTGGTGGCTCGATGGCGGTGGGGACAGAAGCCCGTGGTGGTTGGAGGGGGGATACAGACTCGACTTGCGCTGACTTATCGGAGGCGGGGTGAGCGGCCTTCTTTTGTCGAGGGGAGAAGGCGACAGCGGCCTGTGGCTGCTCAGGGGTGGGGGGGACATGGACCGCCGAAGGCTGCAACGCGCGGGCGAAAGCGCGCGTTGAAGGGGCCTGCTCGGAGGTGGAGAAAAAGATCTGATCTTGTTGCAGGCTGGAGGAGACAGCGACCTGTGGACGCCGCTGGCAGGTGGCGACAGAGGTCTCCAGGGAATGGGAGGAGGTGGTGCCAAGGCTCCCAGTTTCGTGGACGCTGGAGACGGCCCGCGGATGTCGTTGGGTGGTGGGGACAGAGGCCTCTCGTGGCTGGCGGACTGCTCTGCGAGGTGACTTCGAAGCTCTCGGGGAACCGGAGACAGCGGCCTGTGGTTATTTCCCACCGGCGGAGACAGAGGCCGCCACGCCGACGGCGCTTGGGACGATTTCGGAGCCTGATGCTGGCCGCACGAGAGCCCGGCGCAGTTGAGATACCGGAGGGATGGAGCGCATTGCCTGCAATGGGGCAATCGAGGCAGCGCTGGTGGGAGCAGCTCCTGCTGCTGACCGCAGGGCGACAGAGGGCCTTGATGAGGGTTGTTAGCCGGAGGAGATTGATAGCCGACGTCAGTGGTGGGAGTCGGTGTTCGATGGCTGCAGTTCGCTGAATGGGCCTGGCAGTGCGATGGACGCTGCGCATGTCGGTTGCCAGATTGCTGCTCCGCAAGGAGGTTCCGGCAGCTTGGAGGCGACAGTGAAGGATGTAAATCTGTCGGCGGTTTGCCGCCCTCGTCGGAATGCTGCGGCGGTGTTTTCGGATAAGCGGACGCAGATGTGGGGAGGAGAGCCTTCTGAAATCCAAACGTGTTTGGAGAATACGACCTTGGGTGGCTGTAGGGGTGAGGCAGGAATGAAATCTGGGAGCCGCAAAACGGAGGAAGGCAAGACTTCTGGAAACCGGCGGGCGACTGCCCTCGGGCGCTCGCTTGGCCAACCGGAGACGTCGGCCTGCCAATATTGGCGTGCGGGGACACGGCTCGCCGTTGGCCGTATCCCTTGGAGAGGAGCGAGCATTCGTGGGGCGAAAGGAAGGGCTGCGCATCGCCCGCCTGCGACGACACGAGGCTGCTGTACAGCTCGCAGTGCGAGGAGACGGGGCACTCGCGCTGGACGGGCGTGCCGCGCGCGTCCGCGGCCATCGGCGAGAGGGGCCGGCACGGGGGTGGCACCGAGCCGGCGTCGGTCGATCGGTCGGCGGGTCGGCCCTGGCGGGCGTTGTCGCCGTCGTGGTGGCCGTGGTGGTGGTGGCCGTGGTGGTGGCGGGTGAACCGGGCCTGCCGGTGGGCCGCCGCTTTCGTCCGAGCGGCGTCAGGGCTTGAGGGGGGCGAGCGTTTCATTTGCAACGGAGGGGGCAGCGGGAAGTCGTCATCGTTTTCGCCGCACGGGAGGTTCGCATCCTGGGAGCTCAACCCCGAATCTGCGGGGGGTGGTGGCGGGGAAGGGTAGGAGGGGGAACATCGGAAGGACGCAGGGAAGGAGTTCGCGTGAACGTGCGTGCTGCTGACAGGTGATAATATTCAGGTGCCCGGGTCAAAGGGAAATTCACGGGCCGCTGGAAAAGCATCGATTGCAGTGTTTTACGATTTGTGGTTAGAACACATGGTTATAATCATATATGATTGCTCTGGTATTGCTATTGTTATCCCTTGTTAATCAGATATGTTGTTTTTGCGTACGACAATAATTAAAAAATGAAACTGGATATCACTCGTACTGCAAATGCTAATTCCACAAACATAATTGGTTAAAATATCATTTATATTATGCTTCCTGAAAACATGTGTAGTGTTTATTTTTACTTTTAAAATGTAACATTAAATATGCAGTCTACATTATCCGTATTTTATTGCTTCCTCATTTATCTACAATAAATACAGCGTGCAAACTACGAACATACATGCACAATGCAATGCCAGGCTTGTGCTGTTCTATGGGTCTTTCGGTAAAGCCACGTAGATAGAAAAATAATAAAGAGATATCACGACGTTTTGATCGCAACACATGAAGACCATTGCTTGTGTTGCGATCGAAACGTGATATTAGACTATTTTTCTATCTACGTGGCTTTACCGAAAGACCCATAGAATATGTATTCCTGCAGTCACGAAAGCTTTAAGTCGAGGCTTGTGCTAGTTTTCCGCTGCTCTGCAACTATGAATGTCTCTCCGTGTCTCTCGCGCTGTGCGTCTGCTTTGTGTGTGTGTGTTTCTCTGTCTGTGTGTGTGTGTGTTTCTCTGTCTGTGTGTGTGTATGTCTTTGTCGTTTGTGTCCCTGGGGGACTGGTAGTGCAGCGGTTAGCACACAGCGCCATGAACCAGGCAAGCCAAGTTCGATTCCAGCTCACGTGTCCTGGGCCTCGCCTAGGTCGACTCAGCCTAAAATTCGTACATGGTGCGGCATGGTTCTGGCCACCCACTTTCTCATTACCGTACTGGCCTTCCAAGGTGCTCTCTAACAGCACTTGCCCCAAAAGTCTGTTCAGTTTATAAGGTGGATCTTTGTCTATTGATGTTTGCCAGCCTCTCAAAATTGAGCATTTTGCCCTTGCCCGCTGGACTTCACGAACCGCTTGACAGCCTCCAGTGATGCTCGCAACATCTGGATCTCAATTGCCCCCCCGCCAGCCCCTCGGGTCAAAGAGCCAGAGGTCACGTCCACACTGCTCGTGCGAATGGCCGCAGGGAGAGTGGAATCGGCGGTGGGGGAAATCTCGAATGCCATCCCCCCCCCAACCCCCCCCCCCCCATTGTGTCCTCTTGCCCCCACTTCTTCCCATAGCCTACCTAGTCCGCGCTTTTAGAGCATTTTATTGCATCTGAGCGGCCTTCGTGTACACAGTAGACTCTCGATTATTCAGTTTATCCGATTTGCGGATTAACCGCGCACCTGAGATTTAGACATGAATTCATAACTCATGGAATTTCCCTTAAGGCCAAATCATTCATCTAAAACACTTATACATTGTTATTCTTGGAAATGTTTAATGAAAGTCGTGTGCTTAAACCGAACTCAATTTTATTCACTTAAACATGTTAGTGTTTTTTGGCATAGAGATCTGCGGACTATGGTTATATTTTTGGATTATCTGCGATTTTGAATAATCCGTGGCCATCCTCCCCGTCATGAGCGTGGATAAACGAAAGTCTACTGTGTTTACATATTAACATGCAGGTTGTTCAATGTAGAGCATGGGGGTTGCATTTACGAGATCACGTTTCTTACTAAAAGGTAATGGTGCAGTCCTGCAGTCGCTTGCTCATCCCCACCGCTAACAGAACAGTCTTCACAAGAAGGGGCTCTGCAGGACCCCTCGGAAGGCATTTGGCCTACTCTTCCATGCTGACTAGACATCTTGAAAGAGTACCAACAATTTGCCCCGACTCACGACCAGCTGATCGACTGTTACTTAACCAAAGCATTAGATATTTTTTGAATATATACTAATGTATATTTAAGAATGTACTGTAAACTAAAACGATCAATCGTATGCCAACTACAGTTTCAAAGGCCAGTCAAAGATCCCGCATCATACTCCACGAGCTGACAAAGAGTGCTCCTGTATTTTGTGATTCGTTAGTTTTCAGTGAATTCAAACAAATGTTAATTGGACAAGTTCCATTGTGACATGGTGACCTATTTTGTCTCACGATGTCTCGCAATCTGTGAAATGTTTACACCAGATGGCCTGCGTTAATTAATGCCCGCCAGCGTTTCGTGTCATCAAGACGATGGGCCGACAGCTATGCAGTGTGGCAGGGTCAGGCGAAGTCCCGTTAACTCAACCGAGTGAGAGGGCGCAATGAGATTCCTGGCTGTTATAATCACATCGTGTATTTATATTCGTTTACAGGATCTTTACAACATTGAAGTCGCGAGCAGTGCGTGACCAGTCCAAATTAATATTGGTTACCAAAATAAGTGTTCCTCTGGGAACTAATATTCACTGAATATATTCACAAATATTCACTGAATATTTCACTGAATATTTGTGAATATTCATAACCCCAGGGGAATACATGTTTGTTATCACCAGGAAACATTTTTTTTCCAGTTAGAGTTTCATGTTACTTTGTTTTAAAAATAAATAAGGTGGCCAAAATATTGGCTCCGAGAAAGAATGAATGTTCATTCCTGGAGAAACGAGGAATTTAAGGGAACAATTTTTTACTGAACCAGCAAACGTTTAACTCCTCTTATAAATGCCATAAAGTGTATCCACTCTACAACAGGATGGTGTCCTCTGGTCACAATCAGAATATTTGTACTGGAGGAATCCGATGAGCTATAAAGCTCTTTTGCACGCATTTCCAGTAGGGGCACGGGGTAAGAACGTTACAACAAACAACAGTACAGAAACACACGATAGGAGTACACATACAAATACAACTAAACCATGCCCATCCTACCAGACAAAGCCCACTGAGGTATTCACTTATTTTTAAAACAGCGATCTGACCACAAATTATAGCTCAACAAAGTGGCTTATCATTTACACATTAATATACCAGCAAATCAATCTAAATAGTCTAAACGCATGTGGCCATTTTGCAACCCCTCGGAAAGTGAAAAAAACTGAAGCCTCGCAAAGTAACACTGCATGCCCTTAGTGACATTCAGCTGCAACTAGCGATGGTGTCCCCGAAGGAAACGCCGTTGAGGAAGGCAGGGGCGACCACCTGGAACAATCCTCTCTTAGTCTTGGCTCGATAACCCTCGTGCAGAGGGGTGCGGTGTTTCGTGGAAAGGAACAGAGGATGGCATCGGATGGGATGGGAGGGAACTTGAGCCTGCGGAACCTGCCCTTCAGCAGAGAATATTAAAAAACCCAACAACGTTGAACCGTTGGCTTCGTGCAAAGTAGCTCAGCAGGGAGGGTGCTGAGTACGAGGCCGGCCTGCTGTATCGAGCCGACCCGTAAGCAGCCTTTTGGGACCCCCAGTACTTAAGTAGGAAATACGCATTGTGCCTAATGACTTGTCCGTAAGCGGGGAAGCCATGCGGAACGCTTCCAAATGTTAAAAGGCCACATGTGCCGCCCCATATGTCCTTTCCCCTAGGGAGCGAGAAATGCCGACACACACACACAACCCCTATTAACCCCGTATCCTATAGCTGGCTTATTGGCTGCTTAATCCTAAAGCTTAGAATCACCAGCGGTGATGGCAGACAAACTGATGGATGGACTGCGGGACACGTCTTTAGGGTAACATTATCAGGGCTAGCATTGGGGGGCAGGTGAGGAGCGTAGGGTGATTGTACCGGAAGCGTGGTGGATGATTTGGTGGTTTCGGCAAAGTCATTCCATTGCTTTCGACCTTGCCGTGTTGAAGAGTGAATCCACAACATTTACATTTTTTGAGTACGACGTTTCGCTGGTAATTACATCCAGCATCATCGGGCAATTAAACGTTGTTGATTCACTATTCAACACACAGGTGGGCTAAAGTAGTGAACTATTTGTCTTTTGTCAACGTAACACTTTTTTACTGATTGGCCCTGTCGGGTGGTGGAGGATTACGACACATTTATAAATAACGCGATCTAACCCAAAAACGTTTATTATGAATAGTATGTATGTTGAACTTATTTCGCACCGTACATAACCAAACCGTGCTAATCGGAGGTGCTGGGGAAGGACAACAAACTGAACACGAAACGCAGCTCGAAAGAAATTCGTTTTCAATCGAGATTTAAAAGCGCATCGCTCCAGTGGCTTCCCAATATCGGAAGGACGCGGCAGTCACAATGCCCTGGCCACTTGACCACGCCGCTGACCCCCATGGTGGCTCGCTACACCGTCATCGTCGCGCCGCGGGGTCAAACGTCCCTTTAATTTGTGTTGGTACGCAAAGGAACGTGACGTAATCAAAAGTAATGCACCGACGTGATACGTTTTTGTTTAAGTGACCAGCTTCTAGTGTTGTCAGCGTTCACTCTTTGGCCAGAGCCGAATGATACAGGTGTGGCCGGGCTGCACAACTACATCAACACTTGGTTGGCTTCATATTCTTGGTTCTTTCGGTAAAGTCACGTAGAAAGAACCAAGAATATGAATCCCTGCAGTCACGGAAGCTTCAAATCGAAACTTGGTTGGCTGTCGTGGCCCGGTGGTTCATGGGGTCGGAGTAACGAGCCGGCACTTCTCATTTCCAGGGTTCAAGTGCGGGTTTCAGCCGCCCGTTGTTAAACCAGGTCCCCCAGTTGAAATGTAGTCGTCACTTAATTTGGCAAAAAAAAAATACAGTTTTGAGAATGAAAATAATGTGATCGCCATGAGAACCACAACTCTACGGCAGGGCAAGTGGGTCTGCGCTGTGCTCCTCGCTCATGTGGACAAGAGGTCACTCGAAGGAATCCCAAAAGCGGTTCAGTGATATGGGGTCGTCCATAAATGACGTCACGTGATTTTGGACGATT